AACAAAAATTCTAAAAGCTAAAAGCTAAGTGCTTCTGTGCTCTGAGACATTCTTAGAATAGTTTATATTGCATGCTTCAAGTGCATGGTGGTAATGTGCAATCGCAAGAAATAATATTCTCGGTGTATTTTAAAATCTCTAACTCTTTGTTTTGAGACGAAAAATAGAGTACATTAAAATATTTCAGAAAATATATCTAGACAGATTTTATCATAGCCAGATTTCTATGTACAACTTTACATAACATACTAGTCACTTATAATGCTCTTACATAAGAAATTTTATCTTATATGAGATACTGTATGTATTGTGCGTGTGCCTCAAGAATTTTATTTCGAAGAAAGCGATTTATGACTGTCATAAAATAAAACATCCATTAAAATATTTTTAAATTATAAATAAAAAGGAAACTCTGAAGAATATAAAATTAAATAAATACTTTTGATTCCAAGTTAAATATGAAAATGATATATTTGAAAGTTAAAATATTTTACTTCAAAGCATTTGGCTCAGATATTATTGAATCCTGTGACGAATGGCATTTTAAATAAACTGCTAGAGGAATTGATCCCGCTGCTCAATTTCACGCAAATTTAAAGAAAAATGATTACATTGGTTACGTACATTAAGATATATTACTACTATTATTTATAAAATTCTATTAAATATCTGTTTCATCAAATAATGTTTGTAACATTTGATTAAAAGCTGTCGTGAGGAAAGAGAGGAGTTGATTTAATAATATAAAGTGTTCGCGTGCTCATTATTAAATTTACCTTTGATGCAGCGCGAAACCGCAACATCATTAATAATTGACCTTTCTAAGAAAAAGGTGAACAGCTCAAAGGTTGATGAACCTGCATTCAGTTATATATGATTAAATATTATTCGCTCGTGATAATTTTGGCAAAGAAGATTAATTACTTATATAACGATAATGTCACAACAACTAGTTGCTGTTTATTAGAATGAATCGCGTGGACAGCATATTTTCTCTTATAATAAAAATAAAAGTAGATAAGTGGTAATGTGAAAACTAAAGAGATCATTTTCTATTTTCTATTTTTTATAAAGCTCAAATTTTCAATTTTTTATAGGAAATACATACAATTAAAAATTCAGAGAATATTTATAACTTAAAATTCAGTATATAAAAAGAAACAAAAGAAAAGATAACAAAAAGTAAAAATAAAAGTAAAAATAAAAGTAAAAATAAAAGTAAAAATAACAAAATAAAAGATAAAATTATAAAATTTTTATAAAATTTTTATTTAATTTATAATTTTTTAATGATTTTTATTTGATTTTTATTTGATTTATGATTTTTTATAATTTTTTTATTATAATAGTACGATTTTATTTCCTTTAACGACGTAAAACAATCCGATGGGAGTTCCCATGAATGTTTAAATATTCATCATTTAGATGTATTCAATAATTGGTTGAGATCGGAATAGGAAGATCAATGAGAACAGAATATAGGCCACATGAATCGATGGGGTAATATCAATATTGATGAATACGCAGATGCCAAATTATAGGCTTTGAACCTCCCATGAACGCCCATCACTGATACACGAGATAGCGACAGAAGTCATCGACAGAGTCGAATCAAATCTCTGAAAAACTATGAAATGATTATAAGATAAATCTAGAAGTTGGTTCCAAAAAGCCAAATCGCTATTGGTAATTATATTAATTTGGATAAAGTTAATCCTGGAATGATCGACCAAATTAGAAGAAACCATTATTACAAAATTATCGAGATCGATTCTAGTTATGTATCTACCATGTAAGTCTGCATTATTAAATTTATAATTTTGCCGGAAAGGCAAACTCTTTTTTTCTATATATTCTCTTCGATTCGTTTTACCCACAATAAATTCCAGGGTCCTCGACCTACTAATTTTTTTTTATGATTATTATATCATTTTGTTTTACTAATTTCTTATTTTATAAATTAGGTAACGCCCTTTTGATCGTTAAATATACCGAATGCTATTACATCAGATTGCAAATCCTAATAGTTACGGACCCGTATCGAGTATAGGCTATTTTCGTAATTTCATATCACTTCAAAATATTTTAATTTAATAAATACATTAAATAATTGTTTAATTAGTTAATAAAATTAAATTATTAAATTAAATAAATTAATAAAGTTACAAAAGCAGCTTGTCTCATTATAACGAAACTTTAATTTAAAAAATACAAGAATATTTTAGATTTTACTGACAATTTTTGCTAAACAAGAAGTGAATTTTAAAAAATTTATAATTATGAGTAAGCACATGTCTTTTAATACATATATTATATATTGCATATTGCATTATGTATTTTATATAGTGAACGCTTTGTATTTCAAATAGTGATCACGTTTTAGAGCTGTTAATTGACATTGAAAGAAAGAAAATAATATTTATGAATATGATTTATTTATTTATTTATGAATATGATTAGATTACGTGTAGTCTTGATCATTTATATATTTTTCTCCTTATCGCATCCGCGTCATATGATATATAATTTATTTTATATTAAATTCTAAAACTTAATAACGTATAAAAATGTTTCTAATAAAATTTATAGGATTTTGAAAGAGAAAAAGTGAATCTTGAATTTTAATTAAGTTCATTTTTCAAAATCAATTGAAGAAATTAGCTTCCAAAGAAGAACCATCTTAATTTTTTTAAATCAATTTTTCGCAATATTCAGTGCAAAAAATTATAAGGATAGAATAATCAAAAATTGAATATTTTACAAGAGATTAAGTAATACAAGTAATATTAAATAGTTTATGTAAAATTATGTCAAATTAAAATATAAAATATCGCATAAACTATTTGATTTTAACAAAAGTTATGAAAATGTAAGACTGCCTTCAGTTGTCTTCAAGAAAAATTTTATTAGCAAAAACTTCTTTTTTAAAATGATATGCTATGTATATAAAAATTTTTTATAAAAACATAAAAGAAAAAACTTTCCTCAGCTTTTATTTAATTATTCACAAATTGATACATTGTTCATAAAAATATCTATAAAATCTGTAAAAATATATAAAACGAATAAATATATAAAACAAAAATTGATTAGGAAAATTTATAAAGATACTTTTCTTCAATACGAATTTTTGAGTACTGATATTCATGCGATAAAGAGTATATTATATAAATTACATCACTCTCTTTTAATTTTAAAAATTAACGAACTAAAATTAATATGCATTTATCTCTCTCTCCCCCCCCCTCTCCCCCTCTCTCCCCCTAGTATAAGAGACGGACAAGAGTGGTGCAATTAATCAACATGAACGCTTACGTAAAGTATCTATTGCAAACAACAATTAATAATAATAATTATGAATGAATGAGAGAAAAAGAGAAAGAGAGAGAATGTGTGTGTTTGTGCATATTATCATGTATAGCTAATAACTGATCATAGCAGACGTTTTTGCGTTTGATGGCGCGTTCTTGCCTTCATATATTTGGTCTATAATAAGATAAATATTTCCTTTTACAAATCATAAATTAAACTTCGAACAAAATTTTGCAAAAGGAAAAATTGTCTCAGATTTGAGTCCGGAATATGACATTTTAAGGACAATAGATTATTTTGAATTATCTTACATATGGTTAAATATGCCCAGTATCATATAGATAAAAACGAGAAGAAAATAATTTTCAGATTTGTAGCAGAACGTACATATAATTACGTTATATAAAATATATTTTTACATTACTTGAAAAATTTTGATATAATTTTTTATATAAATTTGATATTGATGAAAATAACTTTTGGGTGTAGTTCCGAAAACTAGTCACCTCCGATTTTGATGAAATTTTGTGAAAAACTTCCTTTTAACTTAAAATAAAAGCTTGTAAAAGGAATTATGGCGACTCCTATAAGAAAGATATTTTTTAACATAAGATTCACAAATTATATGCAACATGCGAGTATACGAATTCTTAAATAATGTTTGTTGATATTTCAGGTTTCAGAGAATCACACTTATTCAAGTATCAACATGAATATTTATTATTAATATATGTTTTTATTAACGATTACATATTGCACTCGACTCGACTAGAGACAATCAAGAACAAAAAAACGCAGCAAAAAGTTAGAGAGCGGAAACAGTGTTGCTAATTACAACAGTACCAACTTAAAGTAATCAAACACACAGTGGTCTTTCAAAAGTAACTAAAACTTATTAAAACTAAATTATAAAATAACAGTTTTAGTAACAGTTTTACTTCAACAATGTTGATTTGACTTCTAAGAAGGTCAAAGTTATTTTAACTTTCTATGCAAAACGTACGGTTCCACATGGGTTTGCAACTTCTCATGCGCAACTACTCCGCTGATAGGCAAGGTAGACCTCGCTTTACAACTTACAGCATATATCCATTGTGATTGAACTCTTCGCAATGCGGTCTCTACCGGCGAGGCGATTGCAGGAGGAGGGACCGAAGGTACTCCCTTGCACCTCTTGTGTGTCTGTGTGTGTGTTGTATGTACACATATGTCAAGGCCAAGATCAATGATGAAGCTGCTGTTCGTGAATTAATGATAGTTTATTTCTTTTCATTTTATTTCTTTTCTTTTCGTTTCTTTTTATTTTATAATTTTGTGAGTCGAATTTGGCGTTCAATTCCTGCCAGAACGAGGGAGCCATAGACTTATAGAATAGACTGGCCCCTACCGTAAGAGGCAGCGTTGAAAGATCTAAAGGACAGAGAGATGATTCCGGGTATCTGTTCTTCTCTTTTGTCTCGTGGTAGAGACACTGATGGAATGAGTGAAAACGAAGCGAGCATGCACACTGCTTTCCCCTCAACTCCTACAGTGTCCCCACCACGAGACAAAAGAGAAGGACAGAGATACCCGGAATCATCTCTCTATCCTTTAGATCTTTCAACGCTGTCTCTTACGATAGAGGTCAGTCTATTTTATAAGTCTATGGAGGGAGCACTAGCATCGATTAGAGGGCGCGACAACTAGTTTAGTAGAAAAATGTATGATTTGCAATTATTGTTCGGACTGTGAAGAAGAAGCTCGCCTCTATTTGAGTACAATAAAAGTTTACATTTGTCTAACTGTGTCATTAGTACAAATAAATTTCTAATCAACACGTGCATATTACCGATCATCAATGGAGAGCACTAACAGTTGCCGTTTTTCTAGATATTTACCGTTTCGAACAAGCTGTCTAAAGGTAATATTCATTTTTATGAAAAAGGGCTTAAAAAGTGCCTTAATTTTCGAGTCGCCAAAAATCCTTCTCGTATACTTCTTTTGTACCTAAAAGGAACCTATTTACAAAATTTGACTCAAATCGGTGACCGATTTTCTCCGAAATTCTCCGAACTTTATCCCTCGTCACTCTCTATATTATCCAATTATCCTGAAAGAATTATGCAGAAACTCGCATAGAAGTTTAATTTATGCAGAAACTCGCATTAAAAGTTTAATTTATTCTAAATAAATAATTCATAAATGTTGTCGTCAAGCAGATGACAGTCGGAGATAATTTATATTTCTACTAACAGTAAGTTAAGATCTTTTTATATAATCCTCTTTTTATAAGATCTTTTTTTTATGTGATACTTATTTATAGATCTTCGATTTATATAATATATTTACGATCGAACATTTGAAGAGGATACTTGTAATACAATTCATGGTTCAAAATCTTCGCTCTTTGCAATAGACAAACTACTTGCTAGTTTATTAGATATACTTAATACTAATGACAGAGAAAAATACTTTTTTGGATTTAACAAATTTTGCTGAAATTAAATAAATTTAATTATTAGAATAGTCCAATCAAATTAATATTCGATTTAAAAACGATTGTTTGACTTTCAGATAACGTATATATTTATTTTAAATAAAATTTTGTATTGAAGAATTTTATTTTTTCACTGACTTTAACAATTATATTAACTCACACAACATCAAATCGTTTAAAAGTTTTTTTTATCTAATTTTAAATATAATCTGTTTAATATTCTGAATCCCAACAAAGAATCCAGATTATCAAATAAATTATTTTAAATTCAATTTGAAATTAAACCTGATACACAGTGATGTCAGAAAGAGGGTGCGATTCGCATGCACATGATCAGAGAATCTGCGTATGAGCAGTGTCCTCTTTCTCGCACTATTGCTAAAAGAAAAAAATATATTTCAGATCTTATGTTAATATTAGTCCTTCATATACATTTCATGATAAATATTGAATATCGAATACAAAAAAAGTTAAAAATGGTATCGTCGCGCAGCGGCAAGCGAAGAAACATATGCCACGTACTATTAGCCATTCCAAATATTAAATTAATTGAAATAAACAACACTCTTATTTGAATCAGTATTATTTCAAATAATCGTCATTTTTCCGTTAAACAATATAAATTAATGCAACGAAACAATCAAATTTTTGTTCTAATAAATAATGTTTTATATATAATAATTTTTTCTGTAGCAAAACAAATATAAGTCAAACAAACAGATATACTAAATATAAAGAAACGTTTTTCTCTGTGATAAAAAGCTAATTTTGAAATTATGTAAAATAATATATTTTTAAATATCAAATCTCACAAGAACCAGTATCCTAAAATATTCACGTATATATTGTCCTTTCTTATAAACATAATATTGAAATTTTTCTAAGAGACAGAAAGAGAGAAAAGTAATTCTCATGTTACATCTCACCGACTTCATGATTCCTTTCTGTTGCGAAGTTGTGAAAGAATATAAGAAGACAGCGATCGTTTAATTGATAATAAAGCTCGATACATATCGATAAAAAAATATTTTTGCTCTACTACTTTTTTTAATAAACTTAGGTTTTTATGAAATTATTATTAACTGATTAATCCACTTTCATTCTCCAGTCTCAAAATCGCATTCAATTCCGTCCCGTGTAAAAGAAATTAAATTCTTATTGAAAAGAGACCATTGAACAAATATTCGAATAAATAAATAGCGATTTTAAACAGCCTTTTTCCTGTTTTTCGTGCCTTACAGTTTGCTCGATCCAAGTTACTCGTCACTCTTTGACCACGTGATTTCGAGAATACAATTGTTTCACTCTTCGTTCAACCTATCCTGCTCCTAGTCTGAACATTTATATATTAAAATATATAATATATATTATTAATATTTAATATCTAATATATATATATATATATATATTATTATTATTAATATTATTATAACTAGTAATATATAATGTATATTATTATTAACTTTTCAGATAATTATGATGAACATATGTAACGGCATGCTCTTACTAGCAGAAATACTATTTATTATTTTAAAAGTTTTTTATTTCATTTGCGAGAGCATATTCACGATATTCATTCCAATGACAAAAAAGAGCGTAGCTAATGAAATTGTTTTGGTGCGTATGAAATTCATAATATATACATAGATATAAAAATATTTTTTTGTATGTGTAATATAATATTCAGTTTATAAAATTAAAATTAACAATACATATAGATATGTTAATAGATTCATTTTTATTAAAAAACATTATTTCACTTTATAGATTATTCTATCTATTAAACACATAAACGTTTTCTTATTTCGCTCCAAATTATTTCAAATATTATTTAGACTAATTTGTCATTAAATTTATTCTATTCCGAAAAATATTTAAAAAATATTAAAAATGAAACAAAATTTACTACGTTTTTGTTTATTTTAAAATATAATATAGTTTTTTAAAAATATAATTATTATTATATAAATATTATATAAATATTATATAAATATTATTTTAAAATATTGTTTGATAACAAAATTATATATATTCTAAATTGGGTAGAAATTTGTAAACTATAAAATATATGATAATATATAATTCACGTGATGCAACCTAGTACTTAATATACGAGTATACTGTGACAGGTAACAGGTGCAGGTCACGGTATCGGGAAGGAATTGGCGATTGGTTATGCATCATTAGGAGCAACAGTGGTATGTTGGGATATCAATGAAGAAACCAATAAACAAACGATGAACGAGATTAAAATGATGGGGAAAAACGCTGTCTACGCATATCAGTAAATATTATTTATTTTCTATATTATTTAATTTCATATAATAAAAACCGATTTGAATCATTTACGTGTATACAATTAATCACATAAATTTATTGTCAATGCTGATTAAAAATTTTATTGGGATTTTTATAGATGCAACGTAACAGATAGGGAAGAAGTCTTTAAGGTAGCTGGAAATGTGAGAGAAGAAGTCGGCGATGTTACAATTTTAGTCAATAATGCCGGTGCAGTATGTATTAAAAAGCTTCTAGATCAAAGCGCCGATGAAATTGTACGAATTATAGACATCAATTTAATATCGCATTATTGGGCAAGTGACATTTGAGATACACATGCGTAGTAGTTACGAGATAAATATATATAAAATAATTGACAATATATAATTTACATTATTCTTAGAGAAACAGATATTAAAATTAATTTATTATTGAAATATTTCCAGTTGATATAAATTTAAGATACTGACAAATACACGTAATATATACTTCCGCAAATTCTCAATAAAATCATTTTTAGATGTTGCAAGCGTTTCTACCAAATATGATTAAAAAAAATCACGGTCACATTGTAGCAATCTCATCAGTAACAGCATTTTGTGGCGCTGCATATGGTACAATTTATTGCCCCACAAAATCCGCAATCAAAGGTATATATATTATAATTCAATCTTATAATCTTAGGGTCATGTGTAGCGTATAATTACACAGGCCTGCGAAATTTTAAGTTTGATTACAGTTACAAAAAACAGAGTAGGTGAATCTGATATATTTTTTGACATTAAAAACGAATCTGGCCTCAGAATTTCCTCAGCACGTCAGGTTTTTGAGTAATTTGTGATTAAATAGTCCAAAAATATTTATTTTATTTCGGTAAATTTTATGAATTTATTATTAGGAAATCTAACTTTTTTAATATTTCTACCAATGGAGCATCATATAGTATTAAATTTCGCCTTTTAAATCCATTTTCGATTGCTGCCGCATCATTTTTTTTCGCTGAGATGTACAAATTATAAGACTGATCACTGTATATTGATCCAGTAAGCCATTTCAATCGATCGTATTATCTCTCTGTCTTATCACGAATCAAAATTTAGTTAAAAACACAAATTTTTGAATGCCGAATGTAGAAACATTTCAAAAAATTAGGCTCTTCCATAATAAATTCACGAAATTTGCCAATATTGTCATTTTTGGACTATTTAACTATAAATTACTCGGAAATCTGACGTGCTAGAGAAATTCTGCGGCCAGATTTGTTTTCAGTTTAACAAATCTATCAGATTTATCTGCTCTGCTCTTTATAACTCCTCGCAGGCCTGTGTTATTAATATTTACTGTAAAGTAACGAATATGCATATATGTGTATATATGTATATATATTTTATATATATACAATTATAATATAAATACAATTACAAAGTATATCTTACGTTTTTCTTCGTGTGCGTATTACAGTACTTATGGAAGCTATCAGTGATGAATTGCGTATACATAGCAAAGGAAAATCTTTGATTAAATTCACTACTATTTATCCGTTTTTTGTATCGACTGGATTTGTCAAAAAGTTAACAATAAGGTATGTTTAACAATATAAAATTAATGAATTATAATTAGTATTTCTTCTATAGCGATATTGTAATTGTTTATATTATTCTAATTTTATTCACATATTTTGTAAATTAGTATGTTCAATAAAATAAAAATATTTTTTACTCATAGATTTTACATTACACATATACATATATCTAAAATGTTATTTATTAAAGTAATAATATATTTTTATAATAAGAAATTTTTATCATTGCTGATAAATTTTGTTTGTTAATAATAGATTTCCAAATATATTGAAAGAACTTAAACCACAGAAAGTAGCTTCACTGACCATTGACGCGCAAAGAAAAAATTTGGAAGAAAGAAGTATACCTTCACATTTGTTGCCGATGTTATATTTGATGAGGTAAATCACGCAAATAAAAATTCTATCGTTAAATACACATAATATATTTTTAAATCAAATAATATATACTCTAATAAACTTTTTATATACTGAGTAAATTATACATATACCAACTATATACTCTAATAAACTGCAAAGCGATTTATAAGTCACTAATAAATACGAATGCTATTTTACTGCTTTTACTAATTTAACTCTTTTATATTATTTCTTTACAATCTCTACAATAAAAATAATATTTTGATTTCAGATTTTTACCCAACAAAGCAATCAGTTGTATATATGATTTTATTGATATCGGCGTTAACGCAGATGATTAAAAAATATGGATAAATACGAACTCATGTACATCATTATATATATATATATATATATATATATATATATATATTGTATTGTTTTGAATTTATTATTTTTATATTAAAAACGATAAAATAATTATATTTTTAATAATTATAATTGTTATAATCATAATAATTAAGTATTTTTATATAATTATATATTGTTAATAATTATAATTATTATAATCATAACTATTGTTATATAATTATAGCAATTCTAGTATTATGTTTAGATTTGTAAAATAATTATGCTACAAAATCTTTTACAGCAAATTATCGTTACTTTATTAAAATAAAAAATAATTTCAACAATTTCTCTATAATTCTAAGTAAATATGCACGCATAAAGTTCACGCTGTTTCGTTCAATAACATCGTCAGTTGCAACAAGTTTTGAGGTCATATTACGATAAATAACATTCACAATCTGGACGACAAAAATAATAGACAGCAATTTATCACAAATTTCATCGTTTTTATAGCGCACAACATTACTCGCGTTTGTCGTTTTAAAAGAAAACTGTATACATTAAATGATATTGACTGCGCATATTACTATCTGTTTGAATAAATGATGGACAATTTCAAAATTATACTCTGAATATAAAAAAATGATAAACAAAATCAATTGCATATCAAATTGTCAGAGTTAATCTTTATGTGTACAATTTTGTATATCATATGGAAGACAATTTTTCTTTATTGAGCTTTATTTTTATCGGATAATATTTTGCTTTTTGCATTGATTAATTAAAAAATTGATTTTCTGTATTATAATAAAAAGAAGCAAGACATTTTGTCCAATGTGTTTAATTAGTATTTAGAAATTACAATTATTTAGAATTTACAATTATGTGTATGTTTAAAAATTACAGATGTTGATAATGTTGGCATTAATCTCGACTCTATGCATACAGAAGTAAGAAATTTCTTTTCCAATCAGATTAGCGTGCTTTGGGTACACATTTGCAAAGAGTGCAATCTTGAGAGAGTACTTCTGATCATAGAAATTAATTGCACTAAAAAGTCGCGAACAGAAGTTTGTCGAAGCCACACATTACAAGGGCCGTTACTATGGCAGCTTCCCTTTCCTTATTTCAACGATAAAGAACCGTGAACTTTACGAACTCGTTTGCCGTCTCAGCGGGGCCATTTGATTACAGCGTAACATTCACAACGTTATACCGCGTCCTTTCTGTCTTGTATTTCCGTAATTTCGTAAATGAAGACTAGCTTATGTTAACTTTGCGCTTGCATGTTTCTCTTAGAGAAAAGATTTTTCTCAAGCTAAACTGCGTATAAAACTATTCTGAGAACATAAAATTAATATATTTATGTACGTACTTAGTATATAATATTTTTATATAAATCATATTTGCACAAAAGAAAAGAAACTATCAATTAATGTTCTTTTAATTTTAGCTTCTATGTGAAAAATTTATATAATTATTTAATATTAACATCTATCACACATATATACTTATTGACATATTACTGCTTTAGTTACTATAGTATTAATTTAACAACATAAAATTATTAATCGATTACAAATAACTAATCATAACTAGTTAATGCTGACAATTTTCCTGTTAGCGACGATGCTGCATTAAAAATGATTTCAATAGAGCAGACTTGCCCAAATTTTAAAAGTCTGTTTTATTTTAGTTTATTGAAATGAAATGTTTTATTTTCATTGTGTAATACTTCTATATTTCTCGTTCGATACGACGAATATCGTCCAAGAGAAATGCAATATCCATTCTAAGTTCGTAGAAACTTCGTCGAAGCAACAAATTCGTGACAACTTTATTTAACCTCACAGATGTCCAGATGAATTTTCGAATTAGGCAATTTTCCCTTAGGAATAGCGTTATATCTTTGACAGACACGAAGGCGAAATGCGCGGTTTACGTGATGATTCATCGTAGGTAAGGTTTATCCGCGTGGACTCACGAGCATTTCTCAAGAGAACTCGAGATAAATGGAACAAGTTTCTCTGGAGGTGCATCAGCTATTTCTATTACAAGAAGAAAGGTCTTCATCTTTGTCGCATTTCCGTCAGTCTTAAATACATAATTAATGAAGCTTTGATGGAATATCGGGAGACCTAATTGTTTTAATCATATTAGTACGTTTGCATTTTGTTATTTGCATTCTTTAAATATTTATTACACAAAACCGGATTTATTAAAATTTGATACAAATTACGATTTTATCTAATTTTTCTTATTACGAAATGTATTCACGATCTTGATTCCGATATTCAATTACGATTTATTCTCTATAAGCTATTCTAAATAAGCTTTCCATTTATCTATTTGTCTATGTATACATTTTTACGTATATTTATCTTGTTTCTATTTGTATTAGTTAAATTATTAGATAAATCAAGTATGCATAATCGTCTGAATCTAAGTAAATTTCTACACAAATTTTTTTTTATCAAATTCTTTTTTTCTTATGCTGTATTATTTTTAATCTTTGCAAAATATTAAAGTTTAAATGCCGAGCACGGCTTCGTGGATTTTTATTTTCATTATGAAATACATATTTAATAATGAAGAAAATAAATACAAGCTTACAATTAATGTTGTTTGTGTAATTTTATTTCGAACGATCGTGTAACTTGAAGATAAGATTAAAACGCTAGATCTTCATTACATCATAGCTTTGCATTGTTCAGTCACGCTTGTTAGCGCTTCATTAATTATAACTGTAAATTTTATTCTTTTTTGGTTTAAAAGATGCAAGAGAGTAAATAAATATATATATATATATATATATATATATATATATTTATATATATATATATATATATATATATATATATATAATTTCATCTACGTTTCAATATGAAGCACATCGTTTTCAACATCTGATATTGCTATCTCATTCTAATCATTGTGATTCGAAAGTTAATAAGAAGCTGAATAGAATTGTGCTTAAAAAAATTATATGATGTCTGTATCGTTAATACTCGAGAATTAAACAACTTCCATATATCACCCGTTATTATAATCGTGCACTCGTCATATCGTATCTCGTTTACTCTCTTGCGTCTCTTAAACCAAAAAGGAATAAAATTTACAGTTATAATCAACGAAGCGCTAACAAGCGTGACTGAGCAATGCAAAGCTACGATGCAATGAGGATCTAGCGTTTTAATGGCAATTGAACTGTGCAATTCGAATTTGCTCGATGTTCGTTTGCTGGTGGCAAAATTCCCTGTGGGAATCGGGATGCGCTTTAAAATCCTGATGCCGAGGAAAATTAGAGCTACGGGGTGGAATCAGATAACAAATCGTAAGGAATAATGACGGACGCGAATTCGACGTGGTTTTATCTCTCGTAAATGGATTAAAACAATTTGACAGAGCTCAGAACTGTGTCATGCAGTACATTTCGCCTGCTGGCGATAACCCCATTTGTCTTTCTATCTTTCTTTTCTGTCTCTCATGAGAGTTCGAAAACTACGGAAATTGACCGTCTGCTTTAGCACTCTTGCCAATTTATTACGCTTTTAAATCGAAGCGCCTATTGGTGGAAAGTTCATGTAAAATTTATGACAATGCGCATTTCATTATAAAATCCATTAACTTTCGTATCCAGAGGATACGAGAATGGTGAATGAAAAGCGGGTTCTGGTCTCCTAATTTGAATCATGTGACGAGTAAGCGAACTTCACTGGTAGTTCGTTTCTGTCTAAACCCTTCGATAAGTCATTTTTCGATACATTTCGAGCACATCATTATACATTGTTAGACCGAAATAGAGAACGAAATACAGCACCAATTATCGATTGTGTTGAACGAAACGGTACTTGTTTAAATTTCGTAGTAAGTAAAGGGAGAGAATTTCGTTATTCATGTATATATGCGGAAAGTGAGAGAATTTAATACTAAATTTATAACTTGACTTTGTAAGATATATAATTTTATGTTGAATGTCATATATTAATAATGTATAACAATTGTTTGTACGTATTGTGTGTATGTATTTTATGTATTACAATTTACGAATTTATTATTCAGTACTATATTATGTAAATTTTTCAAAACAGATCTGTAAGCTTTCAGATATATTATACAATGAAGCGACAGAAATATGTTTCAAAAATAATTCTGAAACATTTCCTTTCTTTACGTAGTATTTGAAGAATGAAAAGACTCGCATAAGAGAAATTATAAATTCCTTTTTTATTATAATGTTAGTATATATATAAAATATATTTTTATTTGCACTTTTTTATGCTCAGACAAGGATATGTAACAAAGAAAATAAGGGGGATATCTTTCGTGAAGCAAATTTATTTCCCGGATGTGTCATCTCTCACGCGTATAACTGCGAGCGTTTCTCTTCCAATGTTTTCTTTTCCCTTCATTTCCTCATTATAATATAAATGTAACATTATTCATCTCATACCATTCAAAATTTTCACAACATGCATAAAACCTCTTACACTTAACAGAAATTGAACTATGTTATGTAAATTTTTCAAAGCAGATCTGTAAACTTTCAGATATATTATACGGTAGAATGAAGCGACAGAAATTTGTTTTGAAAATAACTCTGGGACATTTCCTTTTATTTATTATATTTGTTATTATTTATATTATTATTTATATTATATTACAGTCAAGCGAAACGACATTACTAGCAAATTGCAGATAATTGATTGCTTTAAAAAATATCAAAAAGATAAAGACGTTAAAAACATGACATATACGTTTGAGCGAACAATGAAAAAATTAATTAATGTTGTTAATGATTAGAACTCTACAGATAAAAGAATATAGTTCGGATTATAAAAAAAGGAACTATAATAAAATAGATCTTATTGTTAGTTTTAAAAATCGTGAATGTTTCGAAAAAAATATGTTAAAAACGGTATAAACATAGTGACTATAAAATCATAAAAATAAGAATATCTTTTTTAGAGATATTAATTTTGTCCACACACACAAAATCAGCTTGACAAATTATAAATATAAAGATTAAT